TGACAGCAGTGTTTACGGGCCTCAACGAGCGACTCGCGCCGCCGGATGGGGTCTCGGGACCAGTAGGGTTGCAAGAACTCACAGACAGCATGTTGAAAATGTTCTCACAGATCCAAGTCTCGCGCATTCCCACTATGCTACAGCAGTTTAACGTCCCCGAGGGCACGCCTTTTAAGACTTGGTTTGCAGAAATCAGGCGGTTGATCGAGGGCCTCCGTTGTTTTGGGGACCGTTGCCCAGAAGAGTCCGCCCTGATCGCGTGTGCCATCGAATGCCTCAGCATCCAATTCCCAACGGTAGCGATGAACTTTGCCGACAAGCTGGCTAAGATCACCACTTCCCGCGGGTTCTTTGCCCTGTTCAAAGACCACACGTCCAGCGCCATCCCAGCACAAGCGCCAACCCACGTAGGAGCAACCCCGGCTAGACACTCTTTCCCAACACAGAGCAAATCACAGCAGCCGCGAGTCATGATGGTGCATGGGGGAACATACGATGTACTTGACAACGGCACAACCTATGAACCGGTAGACGAGGACGATTGGCAGGAAGTAATGGAGGTGAAAACACAAACACCCACGGGCAAGCCGGCCAGAGGCATTCGGTTGTTCCAATACTCCTATAACTCAAAAGAGGCCCAAGAGGGTAGGGAGAAGTGGGGGCAGGTATGCTACAACTGCAAGTCAGAGGAGCACTACCTCCGCAACTGCGACCAGCCTTACACAAATGCTTTGTTGAATTGTCCACACGTGTTTGTGTAAGGCTGGTCGCAGTTGCGGAGGTAGTGCTCCTTTGACTTGCAGTTGTAGCATACCTGCCCCCACTTCTCCCTACCCTCTTGGGCCTCTTTTGAGTTATAGGAGTATTGGAACAACCGAATGCCTCTGGCCGGCTTGCCCGTGGGTGTTTGTGTTTTCACCTCCATTACTTCCTGCCAATCGTCCTCGTCTACCGGTTCATAGGTTGTGCCGTTGTCAAGTACATCGTATGTTCCCCCATGCACCATCATGACTCGCGGCTGCTGTGATTTGCTCTGTGTTGGGAAAGAGTGTCTAGCCGGGGTCGCTCCTACGTGGGTTGGCGCTTGTGCTGGGATGGCGTTGAACGTGTGGTCTTTGAACAGGGCAAAGAACCCGCGGGAAGTGGTGATCTTAGCCAGCTTGTCGGCAAAGTTCATC